GTGCTGCTGGCCGACCTAGATTCATTCCCTGTCACTGCAGGAGGATATCGTAAAAAATGCTGGATCGCATTCTCGCGGTGCCCTGATGAGACGGCAGGGATGTTTGATGTGGATGCGGGCCTAGGCGAACCAAAGTAAGACCCAAATCATGCAGCCGTTCGCTGATCTACTGGCCGCATAATACAGGACTGTGGTCGGGGCATGCCAGAGCTTTTGTCGCTGGGAGATCCATTGCGCCAACGCGAAGTGCGAGTATTACCCGGCGATCTGCGTGTTAGAACTAAAGGCTAATGCAAATCAAGGCCCGTGCGCTGAGTCCCTACGGTCCACGATCGCATAATGTCAGGCCATATCGCATGAACCTGCGATGAGATAGTTGCGGTATTTTCACTCTTTAAGAATAGACTACCCACGGAAAGTTTGAAGGTGAATCGACTGTGCGAATTTGGCTGAAGGAATAAGGCCTCCCGCTGGTCAATGGAAAGCGAAACGAGGACGTAGGCTCTGGCCCAGGCGTCAGTTTCAAGGGGTCGCTACTGCAGGTTTCGCGCAGAATTATACGATCGGGTTTGAATGGCGCAGAAATAGAAGCAAATATGGAGACGACCTCATCGTCAGACTCCTCGGCCATCAAATCGTTTTTACTCTTCAGCCATGAGTCTCTCGTGTATATAATATAGGGAAATTACTATGTTGGAACCAATAAGGGTGTATATATACTATGATGGAAACAAGTATGGTATGAAATGGAACCAATCGCTAATCATGAATATGCTGAAGTCTAAGTTCATGACATGGTACGGTTCCATCGCTCTCTCGATATTGGTTCCATCATACATATTAACTCATATTGTTTGCATCATACATATGAGGATATTGATTCCATCATGCATATCCGAGCGTATTGGTTCCATCTCGCTTTATTCAATATTAAGTATTGGTTCCATCATACATATTCGACAATGTTGTTTCCATAAATGTATTGGTTCCATCATACATATCCGCGGGTATTGGTTCCATCTTGCTTTCTGGACATTGGTTCCATCTTGCTTATAGGCATATTGGTTCCAAGTTCCAGCATGCGTATGGAGATATTGGTTCCATCATGCATATCCGCGGGTATTGGTTCCAGCATGCCATTCCGGATAATATATTAGGTATTGGTTCCATCTTGCTCATAGGCATATTGGTTCCAGCATGCGTATGGAGATATTGATTTGGGGTATCTCTCTCTAGAGACCAAATCAATATCTCTCTCTAGAGAGACTTCTACTCTCATCTTCAGTGAGCTGCATCTTGGTGTTGTAGTGCACTTTACCCCACTGCGCTCCTACTGCGTATCCTGCTAGTTCCCCTTCCCTTCCTTAATTCATTCTAATCCAGTTTCAAGTCCTATAGACAGCGAACTGAAGGAGTGACTGCCAAGCAGGGACGGGAGAGTATAGCGCTCTTCTGTGACTGTGGTGTCTGTCACGGTCTGGTTAGCGCCACAGCGACGTGCCAGATAGCACCAGGCTCAGCGAGGTTTACATTAGACTGCCCTTAGCGTGTTCTCTTTTCCTTCCTTTCCTTCCTTTCCGAGTCCCTCTTAGCAAGAAGCCGGTGAGCGACTTCGACAGAGCTATGTTGCGGGTTGTGCGGTCTATGGGCAGGCTGATGTGGGCGAAGCCCGTGTTGAAGGCACACCCAGCTCCTACCAACTATATCATTCTATATCTTGTATCATTCCTTATAATTTACATGTGAATGGCTTTTCTTCGCATACTTGAAACTCGCTATAGTTCCCGACGCGGGATGAAAAAGTGATAATTGTCGCCACTGCGTTGGATGGTACAATGGTATTGGCTTCGGCAAACTCAGTCTCATTACCCTCGGGATTCCGCAAGATTTTGCATGTGGAATGGGATGCGCAAGCTGGGGCTTTTAAGGGCCTGCCGAAGGAGTGGGCAGCAGCTCTGCCTAAGGGCGTGAGTTTATTTCAAAGCTGGGCTCGCCCACCGTTATCATAGGTGTCGAAGGACGAGCAGAATCACGAGTCAACCAAGAATTTGGCGCGACATTTGAGGCCAACAACTCCATCGCCGCGCCCCACGGCGACAAGAATTCTTTGGTCCGGAGGTATTATAATGATTGGCCTATTTTTGTGTTCCTAGGTCAGTCCTGACATCATTTATGACTTCCTCGCGGCTAGCATGTACTCACAAAGGTCCGGCAATCATCGGCGTTCCTTTCAACGTCGTGCATGATGTTCACGTGCGCCCTGATTCATCCACTGCGACGGGGTTTGTTGGGCTGCCAACCACGTGGGATAGGGCACTGCAATTGTCAGGGATTTCACGAGATGATGTCAAGGCTAACCCGCAGGCTGTTCTCGATGCACTGCAACTGACCATGGAAGGACCGCCCCAGAGACCACCGCCATTGCCATCCCGCAATACAGTCAACTTTAAGCTACTTCGTGCTTTTGAATTCAATAATACTATTTCAGATCCACGCACATGCTTCCGGGATTTCGTGCAGCTGGGTCAAGGTGCTTCCGGTGTCGTTTACTCGGCTGTGGATACAAGGCAAGGACCTAATAAGGGTCGCAAGGTGGCGCTAAAATACTGTGACCTAAAGGAACTTGAAGAGCTCAAAAGAGAAATTGCAATGCAGTTTTTATCAGGTCACCCAAATGTAGTCAGTCTCTTAGAGGCTTTCCTTACAAATACTCACGTTGTCATTGCACTCGAGCTGATGACAGGAGGTATGCTTACGAGTCTTTGCGAACGAGACATCCGCATTTGCGAGGAATCACACGTCAGCTATGTTCTGAAATGCGTGTTGCAAGCGCTTTCGTTCATCCATCGCCAGTATCGGGTGCACCGAGACATCAAGTCAGACAACATTCTCATTGATACTGATGGCCGTGTAAAACTTGCTGACTTTGGATTCGCCGCGTCTCTCACTCGCGAGGCAAGAAACCGGACTTCAGTCGTGGGGACCCCCTTTTGGATGGCACCCGAGCTTATTCAGTCCCAGTCTTACGATTGCAAGGTTGACATCTGGTCGCTTGCTATCACTGCCCTCGAGATGACTGATGGAGAGCCACCACTCATGCACGAGCCAGTGATGCGCGCCCTGTTCCTCATCACAGTGAATGAGCCACCCAAGTTGCACGACCCATCCGTGTGGTCAGAGACACTTGATCACTTTCTGAGGAAGATGCTTGTCAAACTTCCAAATGACCGGTCCTCCGCCGAGCAGCTTCTCATGCATCCCCTGATGAGTGATGTTGCTACCCAGGAAGATTTTGCCAAGCTTGCTTGGAGACAGCGTCATATTTATGTACCGCCGCGGGTCATTCTATGGTGAATAGGTAAAAAGTAGAGTATCGTGATGAGTAAGTACCACCGCGTGATTTCCCCTTTGGTGGTCTTAAGCCCCACAGAGCAGACTCGGCAGGACACTTGGAGGCTGCCCTGCATGTGGAGGAGGCCCTCTAAGAATTATGGTTACGGTTCTCGGCATTCACTTTGAGATACAAGTTACCCAGGGCCATCAAAAAGGCGCCCCCAGGAGCATCGTCCTCCTACCCAGCCGGCCCTGTTATTTTCATGGGGGGGGGGGGCGGGGGCTAGATAAGGATAGTCCCGGGCTGTGTGGAGCCCTCAGGCTGCGCGAGTCGAGTGGCTGAGCCAAGGACTGAACTCAGCCTCTTGAGGATATGAACCTGCAAGGATAGAAAGAAAGGGGAAATAAGGACAGTAGGGCAGATACAGGAGAATCTTCCTCCTGAGCTCCCCCTATTTGCCAAGCTACTATAGATTTTCCCATCTATACCCATTGTCGAGAAAGAATTCCGCCGGCGGGCTGCTTCAGCAACGCCGGCCAGATAGGAGCATAAGAAGCGAGTATCGATTGGGCTGCAATAATAAATAGCAGCTCATTCTCTCTCTCTCTCTCCTTTGGGCGCTACTTTCCTGGCTAATCGAAGATTACCTGTACCGATAACTCGTACGAGATGTATCTTTTGTCTCTCCTCTGTATCCTGAATATGTGCAGGCGGTATAGCCGACAGCACATAGTGCAGGCGGTATAGCCGCCAGCACATATCACCACCACATATCACCTGCACATAATGTCCTCCTTGGCTCAATGACATCATGAACCGTTTCCCGCCAGGCGTAGCTCATTTTTTGAATCGCGCCGTCATTCACAGATTACTAAGAAGAATCAGGTTGCAAGAAAAAATCGAGCGTGACACTCTGAGCGCATTGTTACTCTTCATCTTGATCGTTCGTTCTCGAGCAAAGCGACACAGAATACATTTACTCCTGGTCGAAATACAACAATCGAACCTATGGCAGTGTGTGCACGCATCCCTTATCGAAGCGCGAGAGGATCCATTATTGGCGCGTATTGCGTGCAGGCTAGTTTGCGAAGTATGTGCTCTAGACGACCTGCTGCCAGGAAGTGATCTCGTCCTCAGGGTGGAGATAATGTCTGCGCTCACTGAGATTATTTGCGAAAGTTGTGAAGTACGCCAGGCAGCTTGTGAAGCTCTAATCGCAATTACACCGCCTCTGAATGCCGCCGGAAGAAGAAAAATACATACCCACCAGGTTCATAAACTGATGAGACTAATGACTCTAGAGTTAGAAACTTCTTCCCGCGCTTATCCTGAAGCAACCATCGGACTGCTCAGCCTACTTCGCTGGAAGTTATTTCCGCGCAAAGCATGCGGCGTTAACATATATCTGTGCATACAGCCATTGCTAACGGGAGCTTATCTAGGACAGGTAGTCGGGCTAAGAATCATTTACGACAATCTCGAAACAAAACTGCTCAGCATGGTCACAGCTATGCATTTCCCTTGCAGAACAGGACCTGGCCCTCTTTCCCAGCGTAGCATCTGCGAAGGCACGTGCACGATCTCCGCATCGCTGTCATGGCTGCTTGTGCACGCAAGTCCAGACATCTCTAGGATTGCATCTAAGATTTTAAGATTGCTGCCTGATTATGAGAAAGAGGCGGTTTCTGTCCTCGCTCGAGGAGGTTGTGCTCCAATCCTCTGGTTAGCTGAAAATCATGAGTGTAAGACCGTGAGGTCAACTATGTTTCATACCACTCGAAAAATTTCAGATTGTATCAAGCATCACCTTTTGAGTCTACCGCCAGCCTCGCGTAGTCCGCAGCTCTCCGTGGCAATAAACGGTGCATTTGGGGTTTTGAAAATCATCACGTGCCCCCCCCCCCCACCCACCTGCCCACCCCCTACCGCGCACATTGCAAGCCTGGGAAAGTTATCGGCTAATTTTTTACAATCTGCAGGCATCGCATTGGTCGCAAACAAATCTAGATGTTGCGATGCTTCTTTTTGCGATGGAGTCAAGTAATTCGAACAGGTCGCCCTTGAAGTTGCTATGCGGACCATGGTGTGATGTGACCATGATTAGTTTGGCACTCACTTTGACCGTGACCCCTGCCGTCTTTGATGACAAAAAATTGATCACAAGCTCAACAAAAGTTCATCTGACGAACGAATCTGTCATGCTTGTTCGGTCGAGCCGTGGCGATGTCAAGATGCAGGCGCCTCATCTTAGCACGTTGTGTGAAATGAGCACGATATTTGCATCACGATTGGACCTTGTTCGAATTCTCCGCGGGGAGCTACCCGTCCTGCGCGGCCATTACACAACGTGGGATCACTTTTTGGCTCACGTGAGCATGCGTCGGATTGAACGGGCGCTGGATGGAAAAATCTTAACCACCAAAATGTTCATCAAATAAAAATCCAAGCCGCGTCGTGTACTTCACATGTACCTTGCGTGGTAATGCGCTCGCCCTATGTATAGGAGTGTCCCGACTGTCGATATGTTTGCCATGTCATGCTGTTATCGATTTCGGCTGGCCGCACGTGCATATTTCTTTTTCCTTATGAACGATGCGCGGTGCGATGCTGCTGCTATCGTGAGGATCATCCTAGCAGCACTCAAATATGGTGAAGCACAGCTCGCAGTAATGTAGAGCGTCGAAGCTTTTTCTTCAGCTGGTTTTTCTAAACACGGTCCGTTCCCCTCAGGCAACAGCGCTTCGACATCTTGCGCTTTCTAGGAGCAAGACCCCCTGCCAGAGAGTACTTGATGCATGCTTCGCTACATTCTTGTATGTCTGGTTAGGTGATGCCCGAGGCTCAAGTAGCACGAGCACGCTGGGTATAGGGGCAACGACTAGCCAAAAGCGACTAGGCCCAGCATAGCATAGCCAGCACAGGGCACTGTTAGCACGGCCGGGCATATTTTCGAACTAATCCTTATCGTGGCCCAGTGCTGCTCCTCGCCTGGCAGTCCTTCAGCTGCACCGTCGTGCAGTCCGGACTCCTCGGGGCCGCGCTGCCACCTGCGCGAGTCGCCGCGGATCTCGCGTCGAAGCGATGCGACTCGGCGCAGCTGAGCGTTGCGCGTGCATGGCCTCGAAGGAGGCGCTCTCCGTGACGCCCTCGCGGCGTGACGCCCTCGATTCGGCCTTCGATTTCGGCGCGTAGTAGTGGGGAGCGGCCCCGGAGGCACCTCTAGAGTGCCACGGTACGCGCTTTACCGGCGACTGCGGGGGCACAAGTAGGGGCTCGACGAGGCACACGCGTTGGTCGCCCGTGGTGGCATTCTTTTCAAACGTTTGGCGCCCACGATCCGAGGTAGTACTCGTGCGACCACGCAGGTGTGATGGGACCGTCGGCGTTGGCGTTTTCGGCGTGGATCAAGCAGGTGTTCGAAATCATGTGGATGAAGTCGCGCTGCTCCACGAAGTAGGTCGATTCGAGCCGCTGTGAGCGCCCTCCGAGTCACCGGGCGCCGCGTCTGGTCGATAGACTTGGTTCGAAACACGCCCGTCGCAGGCGTCCTAGCCTCTCGCCAACGAATTGGCGCCTCTCGCGCTTTTCGTCTCCGACCAGCAGTCCATCGGCGTGCGCCGGTCCTCGAACAGCAGGATGGCTCGGAATCGCCGCCCGCGCAATAGAGATGAGCTCCGAACGCTCGAGTCGCACGCGCGCAGCCGTCCGACGACGAAGTACGGCTGCGACGTCGCAGCGCGTGCCGTAGAGATGCTCTGGTGCGTCCTCACGCGAGCGCGCGACGGTGTTTCCGGTCGGAATCGATGCGCCAGAAGTAACGCGTGGACATGGCACGCAAGCCATTGGAAGGTAGGCAGCGCGCAATCAGCTCCTCACGCCGCTCTCCGAGGAGCCGGAATTGAGGTCGGGGCCGGGGTTAGGGACGGCCCTTCCGCTGGCTTCAGCGATGGAATTGTCTTTGTACGGCATGCATGCGCAGGACGGACTCAGATGTGAAAATGTGGGTGATTTTGAGCGATATCGCCAGTGACCCCTCGGTGTCTGAGCACACTCTTTTTCGTTCCATAATTGATTTTCGTAGATATTGTGCGCGACGGCTACGACGGCTTCGAAAGAAACTGGGCTTGTCTAAAGCTAAAGGGAGGAATTCACTGAGTGAAGAACTTCTCCCTACTGCAGAGCACGTGATCATACCATTTATGCTGGCTGAGCGAGCTTGGGCACGTGCAATGGAGCTTAAAGGCAATCCACTTGAAGGCGCGTATAAAAATTCGCGGACTGGTGTAGGTCACCGGCGTTCACGCCAGTGGCTGACCAAGGCGGCATCATACGGTACCGTAACGCGGGCCCTCTGCACCAACTTGGGTGACAAAACGCTTGTGCAAGAGTGTGCTGCGTACACGTGCTGGCTCGAGGGCTTGGACTTAGAAATGAAGGGCGAGTATGGGCGCGCGGCGGTAGCACTCGAACGTTCGTGCGTGGTTTACAAATGCCTTGCAGAACGGGCGAAGCCTGGATTAGAACACGATGCTTTTCGGCAGCGCGCAATCAATTGTCAGATGGGAATACAGCGATGCGCCTTTGCAGGTGATGGTGGTTGTTCAATACGTACTGACCATCATCACCATTTGGCAGTTTCGACAATCAATAATGAGACTGGGGAGTCGACTGCGGCGATACTGAACTGGTGTGGCCAGTCTTTGAGAGTGACTGAGAAAGTCCAGCAGCGACTTCTGACATGTGGGATGGAACAGCAGCCAGATGCAAAGGGTGTAATCAGAACATCATCGGGCGGGGAAACTGGTCTATGCTATGAAATATCTGGTGCACCGGCTAACACAGGTGTTGCGCTAAATGAAACACAATACGCCCGGAAGCTACAGCAGCTTGAGGATTTGTCTCGCTCCCTATGCGATGTAGAATTGGTTTCTCCGGCCGTCCCCAAAGGCGATCGGATTGTAGAAAACAACAAGCCGCTCGAGCTTATGACGGCGCGCATCTCCTACGAAAAGCTAGACCTTCTTTATCAACGCTGTGACTCTGCCGTCGCAGATCGCGCCTCAGCCTGGCGCAGAAACGCACTTGAGGCTGCGGAATCACTTGTACTTGGTGGAATTTCTGATTCCAAGTTAGCACGCATGCCCGATGATGTGCTCTATCTTTATGAAAACTTGATTCAAGTAACGACAGGTATGTCCTCCCTTGCAGGGGTTCGGGATGGCCATGATGAAGTATTAGCTGAGGTACTTGACGCCCGTGCTGCTGCACTCCGAGCGTACAAGTGTCATTACCTTGCCGAGACGTTCAGTGTACGCGCAAGTTTGGCGCCGAATGCATTCGCACTGTTTCACCACGCGTCTCATCTCGCAGATTGCGCACTCTTGGAAGCTGAAGCTTGCGAGGTGCCACAAATGGGCCAAGAGATGGCGCATCTCAGCGATGCATCCCGTGCATCCACATCTCGCCTAAAGGCTGCTCGTGTCATGAAATCCAATCACAATGGTGACTGTCAAATCCGCGGTGGGTCATTCTCAACAACCTCCACTTTGCTTGGCCATCTTGAGATACACCCTGGGTATGATGACGTTAAGTCATCATTAGCCACTATCATGGTTAGACCCAGGGCCGTCCTTTGCAAGCCACTCCTGTTCAACATTGCCCATAACAAACTAAATCTTCCATCTTTCCAGCTAAGGGCAAGTAAAATATCAAGCCAGGGCCTCTTCGGCTGGTTTCGCCGATAGATAAAGTGATTCAGGAATTTGGTAATATTATATAACAATTTCTTGGACCACCACCCTAGACTGACACGCGTCCCCTTCAAACCAAGCCGAGGTGACTTTCTTCAATTGACACAGCTTGAAACCACAGGATAATGTTTACCTTTGCCAGCCTTTGACAAAGCAGGTTGTCCTTTGATGCTGGAGCTTTAGCGAGCCTCAGTTTGGTTTCATCCATGTCCCAGCACGCCCCAGCACGCTGCCCTTTGACCCCCCTTACGCCAGCGCCCTACGTCGGCCCTACCGGCGCTGGCGGGCCGAAATTTATCCCCCCCAGACTGCTTATTTCCATGACCTCCTTCCCCCCCCTGGGCCCAGGGCGCAGGCCCAGGGCTTATACGCCGGGCTAATAGCCCGGTCCCCTTATAGACCCAGTGGGGGCGCCCGGGGGCGCCAGCCAGATCGGCTCTCAAATGAGCAGCTGGGGGGCTCGCCGGCGAGACCGCAGCTCGACCTGTGCTTCGCCGGCGCCGACTCAGGCTCGCCGGCGGAGGTGTAAAGGGAACTAGCCAGGCTAGTCCTTAAGAACTAGGTACTTTAGTAAGTTAGGATAGTCTACTAACCCCATAACGTCGCTGTGACGGTCAGTCAACTATCCAGCAGGTGCACTGTCCGGCGACTGTGCAACCTCGCTGAGCCTGGTGCTCCGAGTCTCTGGCACGTCGCCGCTGTGACGCTACGCTAACTGTGGCGGGATTTCCGCCTTAAATATCTACCTTTAGCTTAGCTTGAAGCAGTGCATTTCTCCGCCCTATTTATCTCACTGCATCTTTGGTTAGTCGATACGCGTCGCCGTATCTTCCGCTTTTTCTTATCTCACATCTAGCGAAGGCCGCCCTGGCGTTACTAGTAATGGCCACCGAACTGCCACCCCTCTTAGGGCCAAGTAAGAAGCTTCACCGCCAGCCTAGTCTATGGCGCTCTCCTAGAGAGGGCTCGCTGTGTTTTAGTGGGCTGCCTCGCTGGGCCCGAGCACCGTAACTTTGAATCGGGCCAAATCCCCTCCCTGCTATGCGGCCGGCCTACGATACTTGACGAGCTCGAAATGCGGTGCTGTCCCACGCGACCGACTTGACAAAAAGCCGCATGTTTGGTTATGGATATCGGGCTGTCCAAAGCTATCATAGAAGAGTGCGAATGTCACCTGCAGTTGCTCCTAAAAGAGATCCACATTCAAGACACAGCACGCACATTCTCAGGATGCTCTCCTGAGCCCACCACTGCCCTGTGAAAGGCATCATCGATGGTCTTCAGATCGATCAGGGCGAGAGAGCCGATCGTAATAAGTGGAACGAAAAACTTTCCACCTCCATTACGCGTCATATCTTTCACATTATGAAAGGAGAGCTCCTCCGGTGTCCAATCTTCTGGGAACTTGGGTAGAATATAGAGGCGCAAGGGACAGTCACGAGGGCCGCCATCGAGGGCCGCATCAAGAAGCACGACCTGTACAGGCACGAGGTCTTGAAATAGGTTTGGCTGGGACACTGATGACAGCCGGCCGGCGTTCATCTTTGCGTGTCGCCTGAAAGAGGTCCCCGCGACGTATCTTCAACAAAACGATAGCACTGTTACAAAGATGCTTTGCATCTTCCAACTCGTGCTGCGCGGTCAATTTTGTAGAGAGCCTGGTGCCATCGAGCGCTCGGGTACGAACATGCTTCTTCGGTAGAATTGCTCGGAGCAAATTGTCTTCATCAGCCTCTTGCCACCAGCTGGCGGCGCGAACACGGAGGATATTCGTGGTTGATGCTTGAAGCGCCGCGAATCCACGACCGGCTTGAAGATACGCATCGATGAACGCATCCTCAAGGACGCTAATGACGATGGCGGGATCCTTCTCAAGGACAAGTCGGGGAGGTGTAGAGGAACGTTGCATGTCCAAATTGACGAGTTTCTCATAAGCAACTCGTGTTGAAACAAAACGAGTCGCTGCAACTGAAGCTCCTCGCAGTGGGAGATGGTCTTGGTAGCCAAGGAGGGAACCCAGGTCATTTACACATAGATTGCGGTCTCCGATGTGTGACGGGCGCCTGCCAAGTGCACGTTCCCTGTATTGCGCATCACTGTTCCCGAAGTCACGAACCTTGACATCGAGCATAAGTGGTGCTTCGAGGCCAGCTGCTGCTGCTACAAGATTGAAAGCAATGTCCTCGCAATTCTTGAGCTGATCGACATAGAACCAAATGCGTGGGTCTAGGAGACATGCATAGACAAATAGGAGCCACGCAGGTGCAAACAAAAACTTAGTCAATGCCTGTGCGGGAGAAGAAACTTTGGGGAAACAAGAATAGTCTAGCGCACCATCGAGTAGCGTCGAAAGCCACGCTGAGGAAATGTGGCATCATGTTCAAAGTAGCCATTCAAATATGGCAGTAAACGGTCTGTATCCTTTGATTCGGTGATATGATGTGCACGAACAAATGGAGAAATCAGCCGCTTTGGGTTCTGATTCGCAACCTCAAAGGCGAAAGCAAGATCATCGAGCGAAATAATAATGTCATCGTCACATATGAGAACATGCCTTGTTGTGACCTCAAAAGCGGGAAAACGATTATTAAGCGAATCGTTCGCTTGCCACAGTGTTGTCACAAGAACCGTGTGATTGTATTCCGCACGCGACTTTAACACACGTCTCGGGGAAGGGGATTTGGGTGGTGGCGTGGCCGGGTCATGCCATACGACGACAATGCGACCCACATAGGAGGAGTTCGCATAGTGTGCACACAGCGTCTCGATTGGGATCCGCTTACCACGGAACGTCGAGAGTACTACAGTAAAGGTCGCTGAATATTGCTCAAAATGATGTGCCTGGAAATGGGGCGCGAGCACCTCGCACACTGGGCTTCGACAACTGCGCGGATCACTTGTGTTGTGACACATGTTAATGCCACAGAGGCGTGTCGAGTTCGTCTGGTGCATTTGAGCAGGTCTATCTGCCATGTGGCCGGCACAGCCAAGCTGCTTAGCTGCCTCATCAGCCAACCGCCACCAACGAAGGAAAAGTTGGGGCTCATAGAATCGTTCCCACGACTCGAAGGCCCCCAACCCCTCCGAAGAACCACGGCTTAATCTCGCCCGAGAAGTGTGCGACGGCAACTCCCTCGGCGTTTGGGAACCGTCGTTTCCCATAAAGGGAGTTCGCAACCCACATCGCATAATTATACTTTGCATCCAAAGGCTGCCAAGGTAGCGAGGTATCGAGACTGTCGCTGCCACTTTCGAAGAAGGCATCGTGTGGATGCTCCTCAAAGTATGAGTTCAAGAAGCCCTGATCCCCTTCATTATAACTGAAGGTCGCGCCTGCTGCTGCGACAAGTCGTGCATGAGTGCCTGCGTCTGGTGCGATGACAAGAAGTCCGGTGTTAAAAATCCGTGGGTAAATATCCGCAACAGCTGCCAGCCGCTGTGCCTCTGAGAAGATGTCATCCAGAGGTTCCATAACCAGCATATCACTGTCGAGAAGTATCACTCGCTCAAACGACACAAGCGACCAAGCATGCAGCTTCGTGTAACGACAAGACCGCTTCAATCCACGGTGCATCTCCGCTTGATGCACTTTGAATGGATAGGGAACCTCGGGCACTCGTACTGGCGTTACGCTCAATGCCATTCTAGCCAGTGCAGCTTCAGCCCTCAAAGAAACCGCTGGTGCAAGCATGGGTACTACACTTGCAGAAGTGCCCGTCCGTAGCAGCGACATGATCAGCACCGCTGCTGACAATACAGATGCATCGTCACAAACTAGCGTTGCAAATGCCCGAGATCTACCAACTGCTGAAGATGCCCCAAGTCCCCGATAGGACTCATTGAGCAATATTGTGTCGAAGGACATGTAATCTGGGTGATTGGTTGGCACTAGTGGCATGCGAGTCCACCTAGTCTTAGCCGGACATTGCAAGACACCAGTTAAGTAATGATAAGGGTGCTAGGGAAATTACTATGTTGGAACCAATAAGGGTGTATATATAGTATGATGGAAACAGGCAGGTTCCCTGACATGTATCCACTCCTCCCTCTAAAGAGAAGATTTTTCTGGGTGCGCTCCAGGCGCACAATAATAGCGAGGATGCCAGCGACAGCCGATAGCTCGTACTCGTGTACGAGATATATCTTCTGTCTCTCTCCTCTGTATCCTGAACATCCTGGCTGACATAATCACCTGCGCTGATTATGCCTTTGTTGATCACAGAGCTCTTAAGCGAATCTGTTCAAACAGAAGTTGATGCGCGTGAGCTGCTGCCGTCCAAAACAGCCAGAAGCGACGATATCAAGGGATTTGGAAGGAGCGGCGCCGGATTTGGACGGCCTTTGCCCCGAAGCGTGCATTTGCCGTTCATTATTGATGCTGTGCTACGAGAGGCACCATTTGTTACGGGAAAACGTATGCAAACGTGGCGCTCAATCATACAGTCACAAGACTTTCAGAATCTGTGAGTGCCCGGATCACCAAGCGCGTTTACTTACTTGTTTAGGTCTGTTGACAGTTTCTGGTGGTTCCATGCAAACGTTATTGAGCCTCGCGACCGCGGTGTAGACATCGGAGAGTCCACTGACATTGACGAGCAGCTGCACGGCAGAAACTTCACGGAAGAGGACGCTCTGTTCAGCAACATGGCCTTCTCTTATGTCTAGTCCTGTGTTTTGCTATTCAATGCGCTCATTGGAATGTCGTATCATGCAGGTTCACATCTTTCGAAAAGTACAAACACAGCACAAGGACTCGGTGATCAATAAGTTCTATGAGGTGATGGCATACACAATCCTTCTAATTCTGGGGGCTGCTTATCCACGCCGCCGAGACCACTTCTTGGAAGACCAAGCATTGAAGCGGCACCTCGTGGATCTTTGTGCAGAGTGGACCATGGGAATTCAGCCGCGTGGGCTGGATGGAACCCATTGGATCATCAAGGGCGACTCTCACAATGATCGGAAGCACGGAGTTTTGCCCAAGACGAAACAAATACCCAAGTCTGGATTCAGTGAATCAAAAAGTGATCATTGTGGCTGACCATTCCATTCAGGTCTGCATTAGGAAATGAGTCAGATGTAACTGCCCGCTCAACCGCAGCTCACACCTCTGAGGTATATATAATCCGAAGGGTAAAAATGGTCACAATTTGGACCCCATAGCATCGGAATGCTTTGAGAGGTGTAGAACCTCGAGTGCGTGCATCATACTCGCTTCTGCATAGTCCATTCTTTTGCCGGTTCTTGAGTGAGAATGCAATCGAGTCCAGGGCACTGCAGTTCCGTCTAGGCCTCACCATGGAGGCTTCTCGGGTTACTCCTTTCCTGAATAATCATGTTCCTGAGGATGAGTTCAACGCTTCGCCTGCAAGGAATCATTCTCTGAAGTTGTCACACGTAGGCGATCGATCCTTCATCGAAAGATTAAGCGCGCAATTCGCTCGGCATCCAAGCCAATGCCAGTCGACTACTTGCTTTCCAATTCGAGTGTGCTCAGACGTAGTGCGATGGATCAGTATTCTAAGCAGAAACAAGATGCCACCAAAGCCATCGCATTTTTCAATCGTGAAAGGTATGCTAGTACTAGAACTACGACGATGAATGATCCAGATAGACACAGGCGAAAAATAACCGCCCAAATAGAAGTCGAGCAACGTTCAGTCCTTGGCTCTGAGAATCTGCGGGAATATGCCACCAAGCTTGCTAAGGGCTACTCCCAGGCTCATGAATGATTTGTAGTCTCGTCCACAGGCTGCAAAAAAATGGTAAGTACTGGGGGCCAATCAGTCTTCCTGGCTCAATCGAGGTAGCTGAATTTCGCAATAATCGCCGGTGTCTCGGCATCGTATGTAGCCGCGATTCATTCCACTGCGCAGCTCGCGAGCATCCCAGCAAGTAAGACCACGCCCGTCCCTTTTTGGAAGAGGCAGGGGTGCCGGCCGTGCACGTGAAGTTAGCAAACTCAGAAACTCTCCGAACGGGATGGGCGGGGGGGGGCGGGGGAGTTTGACTACCTATCAAGCTTGGTGCCTCCAGGCACCCGCCTGCTCGCTCGGCGATTCGCTGCGGTTCAAGCATGATTTGGACGGGCTTTCGATTAGGGAATTGCCACCAGTAAAGGCGCCAGGTGTGGTAAAACTTTTACCAAAAGCGCCGAACAAAAGATGATGATAAAGCGGCGAATATCGCCCTTAGAACGCGAGTGTGATTAAGCACAATCAAAGTGCGCTTGGCGATAAGCCAGCTACCTACTCCCCCGGGCATTAACGTA